GCCGGAGGGAGCTTTTCCGGTGAAAAAGGCACAGGAGGTTCCAGATTTGTGACCAAATTTCAGACAGGTAGAACAATAGGGAGGGAATTTTTCATATGAGCATTTAAGGAAAAGGTCATTAGCCCCCAGTCTAATGTGCACCATAGGTGGGGGAGGGAGAGAAGTATCCATTTCAACACAAAATCTTGCATTCTCTCTTTTATCTCTATTAACAGTATAATCATCCAACATAATTGGTTTCCCAAGAAGACTGGCAATAGAGAAAAGGGCTTGATAATCTATAAGATGAAGGGGCAACCCATGCAAAGTAACCCAGACAGGAAAAATAGGGCAGTCTGTAGAACTTAAATAGTTTCTTGTCCATTTAAAAACATAGAAATGGTATTTATTAACATACCAGTATCTCCTTTGAATAAGTCTTATATAGTCCTTTTCTTCTTTGAAGGTAAAGAGAATATCTCTGTCTGAGATTCTCCTAATCCTGAAGTACAGGAAGCCCACTTTAAGCAAGAAATCTTTTAGCATTGAGAGGGGAATGTATCCTTTGAATCTCCCAGCTGCAGAAAAGTGCATTTTGGCCTCCAGTGTTTCTTCATCAGCGCTGGAGAAGCTCACAGATGGTGCTCCTTTGTAGAATCCTTCAACTTTCCCAACCTTTGAAGAGTTTGATGCTGCAAAAAGATCTGAAAAGTATTTTGTGAAGTGTGGACGTTTAGAAACAGATGGTTTGTGTAATGTGGATTGAAAATTTTCCGTGGCCTGAGACTTTTCCGGCCAGGACGCCGGAAATCTCTGCCTTCTCTCTAAAACCATTTTTCATATCATATATATATATATATTGAAGGGTATAAACCACCGAATATATTGAATAATTTAAGTTTTAGAGAGAGAGAATGCAAAGTAGGAGTATATTTGTAACGCCCCAAAAACCGGTCTAGTTGTTTTTGATAAAAAGATAATTGTTTGGTGATTGTACCCGTTTATTAGAATAATGAAATAATTATATCAGTTAATTAAGATTGACATATTAATTATGAAAATATCAACGAAAATATTTTTGGAATAAAAATAAAATTAAAACAAAGTTTATTGAGAGAAGTAAGATAATTATAGAATAAACTAAATATATATATATTTATCTATTTTTAACCGACTAAAAGGGAGGAAACACTAATCTTATGGTAGCAAATGACACGTGTTGTACCATCATCATTTGAGGATGTTACTTCATAGTTATCAAGTTCATCATTTTTCTTCACAATTAAGAAAGGTAAATATATACTCTATAAATAGTGCTAGAACCTAAGCCCACACCACAAACCTACGTATATACGGAGTATATATGTATATATACTACTCAACTACTCTATTATAATCCTAGAAAATTTTAAGTACCTCTAAAGGGTTAACTCAAAGTTGAGTTGGTTGAATATATACAAATTAAGGGTGGTTTGCCGAAGGTATTGCCGGAATTGTTTTAGAGTATCTCACTAACGTCATAGCAATTCGATTCAACGTTAAGGTGAGTGCCGCCGCCCGTATAACAATTGTTACTTAATATAATACGTTGATATATGCTATATTTGTTATATATTCAATTGATTTAATTTCCGTCACTAATAATCAGGAACACCACCGACTTTTACTTTAAACATGCGTTACATCCAAATTATCTAAAATATTTCCCAAAAGGATTATATAAAGATTGTATAAGAGTATGCGAAGAAAAAAAAAAGGTTTTGAAACAAGTTTTTGAATACCGTTAAAGAAGGCAACCGGAAAATGGGTCACGATAGCGTTATACAATTTGTACAAATCTTTACGTCCAAACTATTTATATATGTTTTATAAAAAGTGTTTTGATGATAAAAAGAAGAAAATTTTAGGTTTTAAACATAAAAACAAAGTTACCTAGTCGGAGAAGGTGACCGGAAACGACCAACTCCAAGTGACAAGATTCTTTTACATTCATTCTATACCTAAAACTATTTCTCTACATT